ACCCCTCCCCCCCTCTCCTCTCAGTCGCGCATTGGCGCCACGGTCTCTCGCTCGCTCTATGGAATTCGCCATTTGTGTTCCCGAATGCCGACTGAAGAACGCTTTCAACATTTCGAAAACGCACTCGGCTGTGTCAGGCAATTTGCGAAGCGAGCGAGATAAATATCAGGCGGTTTCGTTCGTGTTTATACTGGAAATTAATTAGAGGAAACAGCTGTTTGATCGGCCCTCGCTCGCACCCGCACGCACGCTGGGAAAATCGTTCAGCGTTTGCGTCAGCTGTCGTGTTGTCAGCGGCATGGCTTTGAAACGGTCGCCCACGGATTGTAAGTTTCCTTTGCTTTCCTTTGAATTTGTTTTTGATATCTTGTTCACTCACTGTCCGTTGGATTGCAGGGAGTAGTGCAGAAGTGGCATGTTCTCTGAACACTCGTGAACAGGTGAACAGAAGACCAGCTTTAGGGGAAGTGTGTTGTGTGATCCATATGTGGCAATCAGTGTGTGAGCCAGAAATATATTTTTTTCTTTTTCTTTTTTCATTTTTGTGAATGGAAAGGGAAAAATATTCTGTGGCAATTTGCCGGACTATTTGAGAAGATATGTTGATGTCGTAAATATTATTTAAATTCATATGATTTCCATTGTTACTTTTTAAATGTAATTACTACTGTTGTCAGCACTATTATCGTCACCATCATCATCATATCAACACTAATAAATTTAAGGTACTGCTAGTATTAGGCCTGTCATTCATCGCCATCGATATCATTATCATTATGTTTTGTATTTGTAGAGTAGTAATAGTAGCATCATTGTCACCATCATCATAGATGTACATTTTTTTTTTCGTTAACGTGCCTTACATATTAACTGCAATACTACATCACGTCCTTTTCGCGACTTGTCTTTTGCAATACGTGTCCTCTAACCTTTGAATTGTATTATTTCATTCTTCCAGCTGTGTTTCTTAAGTGTTTGTTTGTTATGTGTTTATGTGTTGTTATTTTCCTTTCAGTTCCTGGTCCGTGTCTAAGAACTCATGGTCGTCTACCAATACCATATGACCTTGTTTTGACCTCGTGTTCTTCCACCTCGTCCTTCCCTACCCTCTCCCCCCTCAGCCCCACCCCAGCCTTTCCTTTTCGCCAAGAATTCTGTCATTGTCATTGTCACTTTTTTTCCTTCTTTTTCCTAGCCCCTGCGGTTCTTTTCCTGATCTTTTCTCTTTCCCACGAAACGTGATGTGACTTCTTCGCCAACGCTTTTCTGAATTCCCTTGACCGACTTGCAAGTGTGTCTCCTCCTCGCTGTCCTGTTAACCTTGTACTGTTCTGCGTGGCCTTTCGTCTAAAGTAGGCTGTTCATGACGGTAAATATTATTCTTAAATCTCTTTTATCATAGTTTTCCCTATACTTTCCGAATCCGTTCTGTTTCTTCTCGTCTTTTTTTCACTTTTCATTTTCTTCCATCGAATACTCTCTGCTATTTTTTTCATTCTTCTTCGAAGTCCTCCATTCTCACCAGCTATCCCCTTCTCCCATCTCCCTCGTTCCCTGCCTCATTTTCCCTTGCGAGGAATGCTTTCCTAGTCTTGCCCCCCCCCTCCTCATCCTTCCCTCACAAGGAGATAATGTACAAACCTCTCCTGTCACGTGAGGATGAACAAGACGAAGGGTATAAGAGGCATCCTCCTGTGGCCTCGGAGGACAACACCGAGGACGAGGACGAGCTGTGGAGCCGCTCGAGTATCCTTGAATGTACGTGTCTCGTCGCCCCTTTGTTGTGTGATGGTCTTGTGTTTTTTTTTTTTGCGTGTATGTGTCTGTGTTTGTGTTTTATCGTGTGTCTGTATATGTGTTTGGGCGTATATGGTGTATGTGTGTGTGAATACGTTAGCTTTTGTTCTTTTGTGCATATGTGCATGTCTATATCAACAGTGTATTGTGTTTGTTTCCCCTCATTTTAACTGTTTATATCACTTCATCATCGTTTTTTAGTTACCATTTCCGTCTTCCCACCTTGAGTTATTATCATAATTTGTTATTATAGCTGCTGTTATCTATGTTGTCATTCTCGCTCTAAATTAAGTCAAGATCGTTATCATCGCCAAACATCATCATCCGGGTTATCGAGACCAGATTAATAGCCGTCTCCCTTATCGCCGACGTCATAGATCCGATAAGAAAGAGTATACGTGACAGCTTAAAAAAATATATGGTGGAGTAAGAGGGGAAATCATTCAGTCCGTTGTCATAGAAACCAACGATTCCCTTACTTAAAACACAAATTTCGTCTAAACAAATTTTGCGTACGGATAGGCATTGTTTTTACTCTATATGTCTAGCTATTATATTTTTTTTTTATCCTCTTTTTATATGGCCTATGTTTATTTAATCGTTTTTATACGTACTCATAATTTCTCAATATGTTCTCTTTTCAGCTACGAATCTCCTTGCCGGCGGGGAGAAAATCTATGACGATGTGGAAGCGAAGCAAAAG